CACTGCAGTCCCTTGCCTTCAAAAGCTTACATTTTATTGTAGGGAAACAGTACATAGATAACTAAAGGCAGCATCATTTTTAAGAGGGAAAAGAAATGGGAACACTAATTAGAGGAATCAGTGACTATAAATCATAACCCTCCAGGCGGAAGGTTCACAATTTGTTTTGGCTAAAAAAAAAAACATCCCTGCTAGTCAACCTCCTGACATTAAACCACTCTGAACCTAACTCAGCTGTTTCTCAGACTTTGCCCATTTTATACTTCAAGAATTTCTGACTTGGTAGGACCTTAGTAGGGCTTGTGTTCTGATGGCATAACTTTCCAGAACCCAAGGTTGCTCCATGTTAGAATGAAGCATCCATCAGAAGACTTTATTTTTTTTTCTTAATAGTATTTTATTTTTTCCAATTACATGTAAAGATGGTTTTCAACATTCACTTTTATAAGATTTTGAGTTCCAAAATTTTTTCTCTCTTCCTTCCTTCCTCCCTTTCCAAGATGGCATGCAATCTGATATAGGCTAGACATGTACAATCATATTAAACATATTTCCACATTATTCATGTTGTGAAAGAAGAATCAGAACAAAAGGGAAAAACAATGAGAAATAAAAAAAAGAGAGAAAATAGTGTGCTTTGACCTGCATTCAGACTCCAGATTTCTTTCTCTGGATGTGGATAGCATATTACATCTTGAGTCTTTTGGAATTGTCTTGGATCATTGTATTGCTGAGAAGAGCTAAATTTATCACAGTTGATCATTGCACAATATTGCTGTCACTGTGCACAATGTCTTCCTGGTTCTGTTCACTTCACTCAGCATCAGTTCATGTAAGTCTTTCCAGGTTTTTCTGAAATCCACCTGCTCATCATTTTTTAAAAATTAGTTTATTTTTAGTTTTCAGCATTCATTTCCATTTCCATTTTGAGTTTTATATTTCCTCCCCCTCCCTACCTGCCTCCCTCCCTAAGACAGAGAGCAATCTGATATAGGCTCTACATATACATTCCTATTAAACATATTTTCACATTAGTCATGTCGTAAAGAAGAATTAGAACCAACAGAAGGAACCACAAGAAAGAAGAAACAAAACAAAACAGAAGAGGGAAAAAAAAGAGCAAATAGTATACTTCAATCTGCATTCAAACTCCATAGCTCTTTCTTTGGATGTGGATAGCATTTTCCATCATGAGACTTCTGGAGATGTCTTAGATCCTTGCAATGCTGAGAAGAGCTAAGTCTATCAAATTTAGTCATCACACAACATGGCTGTTACTGTGTACAATGTTCTCCTGGTTCTGCTCACTTCACTCAGCATCAGTCCATACAAGTCTTTCCAGGTTTTTCTGAAGTCTGCCTGCTCATCATTTCTTATAGCACAATAGTATTCCGTTACATTCATGTACCACAACTTGATCAGCCATTCCCCAATTGATTGGCATCTCCCTAATTTCCAATTCTTTGCCACTACAAAAAGAGATGCTATAGAGATTTTTGTACATGTGGGTCCTTTCCCCTTTTTTACTATCTCTTTGGGATACAGACCCAATAGCGGTATTGCTGGATCAAAGGGTATGCACACATTAGAAGAGTTGAGACAGTCATCTGCACTGCAGATGGAAAGAACCCTGCTGCCTATAAATTAAAGGCCAGATTCTATTTTGGCCTTTCAGGTCCCGAAAAACAATAGCTCATCTTTGTATAACACAACTTTTAAGTCCTTCAAAGAAAGGTTTGGGAGCAGGGATTGTCAATAGTTAATAAGCTTTTAATAAGCACTTACTAAGTGCCAGGTACCAGCAAAGGGCTTGCAAATACAGATATTATGAGGAGAAGAAAGATTGTCCCTGTCCTTAGGAAATTTAAAATCTTGTTGGGGAAGACAATATACAAAAGGAAGTTGAAAAGGGGAAGGGGACCAGACCAGATAGTATGAAGTTCAGGGCCATGATGTTGGTGGAGTCAGCAGAGAAGCTAATGGAAAATGGGAGAGATGGCTAGAAAATTCTGAGCCCTCTATAAAGGGAGGCTTTGGGGGAGGTTTTTGTTTGTTTGTTCTGCCCTCTAATTAGAGGGTTGAGGCAACTGAGAATACTGAGAGAGTTTTGACTACCAAAGCTGAAGCAGTCACCCTGAAGGTCAGACTTCTGTTATTGAGTTTATCCTGGGGAAAGCATGATGCAGAGAGGTAGTGGATCAGTGACGTTCTAGACCTATTATTTCATCAGTATAGAAACTCCTTCCCTTTTCTTCTTATTCCGGGACACCAGGAGTTCAAGTGACTTGCCCATTTATGTATTCTATCCACTATGCCACAATTTTTTAGTGTAAGAATTATCATGCCCATTTTTTAGATGAGAAAACTGAGCCTTAAGGAGATTATATGACTCGCACAGCCTCAGTCAGCTAGGAATCCACAGAGCTTAGATTCAAATTTAGGTACAAATCCCAGGTTCTTTCTAGTCAACCCCAGCTGCTTCTCACTGTTTACTGTCCCATCACATCTTCCACTGTCTTTCCTAAATCACTGCTGGAGTCAGTACAGAAGAATTACTAGACTCTAAATCAGAATGATAATAATAGAAACAGCTGACCATGGATATGGATGTAAATAGCAATTCAAGCTTCACAAAGCACTTTACATAAAGTCTCATTTGACCTTCACAACACCCTTATGAGGTAGGTACTCTCGCTGGCATTACTAATGAGAACAGCCAGCATTTATATAGCACTTAATTTGTGCCAGGCACATTGCAAATAATATGTCATTTGATTATTATCCCCATTTTATAGAGGAGGAAACTGAGGCCCACAGAGAGGTTGCACAACTGCTATTAGAGTCAGGACATAGAACCAAATTTCTACCTGGGAGAGTTGCAGTAGACTTCACATCGACCCACCATGATTCCCACAGCTACACCCTGACTAACTGCTCCTGTATCTCCAAAGGGGCTGAGGTTAGGCTCAGGAAGACCTGGTTTCAAATCCTACTTCTAGCACTTACTGGGCTGATCTTGAGCAAGTTATTTAAGTTCTCAGCCTCGGTTTCCTCAAGTGTTAAATGGTGATAATATCCCTAGGGCTCATCTCACAAGGTTGTAGCATGAATCTGGATTGAATGAGATAATGTATGTAAAAGAGCTTTGTAATCTCCTTCTGGTGCCATCTTATTCTGCCTCAAAACCCAGAACTCTTTCTACTCTAAACTTTTCTAAAACCTTTAGACAAAAATGTGCAAGGTTTTCCAGGCATGGTAAGACGACCCGTGTGAGAAAGGCCTTCTGGTTTCTTTGGGAAGTAGTGGGAGATGGAGGTGGGGCAGGCAAAGGTGATATCTTGTCAAGAGGTGTGTCTTTGCACCCGGAAGACCTGCATTTGATTCTAAGTTCTGCCACTTAATTAGCAGCGAGAGCCTAAAAAAGCCACTCAGGACTTCTAAGCCTCAGTTTACTTATCTGTGAAATGGGAATACTGATACCTGTGTAGTTTCTAATCCTCAGTTTACTCACCTGTAAAACGGGGATAATAATACCTGCGTCTGCCTCACATAGTTCTTGTGAGGATGAGAAAATGTGTATGTGGTCACACATGTGAAACTCTACACAAATGTTAGTTGTTTATAACTATCATCGTCATCATCATCTTCGTTAGCCAGGTGCTCTGCCCACTGGACTTTCACTCTTTGAATGTCTGGCATTTGTTGGGGATGTAGAGGGAAAGAACATTGTCAGTCCAGCGGCATCGGGTCGGCGGCGTGACCCAAGGCTGTGCTCCCGCGGCCCTCGCGGCAGCTTCACTTCATCCTTTCACTTGGCATCGTCTGATCGAGTCTGTCCGTATTGCTCTGGCCGCAGGCGTGAGAAAGGGCACGCCCAAGTGTTCCCAGATTACAAGGGGGCGTGGTGAACCCGGTGAGGAGCGCGAAAAAGATCCCCAGAGTTTGCACCGCGCAGCCGCAGAATTCAATCCCAAGCTTTCCCCGCGCTTCTTTCTGCTCTCCAGCCTGGGCCCTTGGTTTAGTGCCTCTGGTGGCCCCTGGTGGAATAAACAGTCTTTCTTGAGGCTGAAGCCCTGTTGCAAACAGCAGGGGACGCTGTAGGGAGCTGTGTCGGGGTAGGCGGGGGACCAGGAGGATACGGGACCTGGGAAAGGGCTGGTTTACTTTCGGAATATGCCTAGAGTGTTGGCTGTTACGGGCACAGACGGGGATAGGGTACAGATTCAGGAGACGGGGAGTAGGCAGTGGGTGCCCTTAGGCCTAGGGGAATGGAGAAGAGTGAATGTTAGGAGTGGAGGGGGGACAGGGGAGGTGGAGAGCAGATGGGTCTTGACGTGATCTCCTTAGGGAAGGGCATGGACTAGCACGTGTTGTGGAGATGCTGGTGGTTGTCGGTTGAAGACCGATTAGAATTTACTCCTAAGTTGAGTAGAAAAGATGAGATGAACGTAGGGGATGGGGTGCCCCGGGGGCGGGGACACAAGGCTAAGGAGAGCAGAATGCAGTCTGGGGGCTAGGGTGTAAGAAGCGTGGGCGCATAGTTCAGATTCTGGGGGCCGCGGGACCGAGAACACTGGGTTACGAGGCCCCAGTAATGCTCCGGACTGGGGTATCGATTTCAGGGTGAGGGGTGGGGAAGAGGGAAATGGGGAGCCCCCGGGAAGGCTGCGCCGTATGGAGTGGCTCCCGGGTCTTAGATAAGGAAGTATGACATAGCAGAAACTCGGAGCAGCGTTATCAGGGGCAGGCACAGCGGGCGGCGGCGGCAGCGGGCGGGGCCGGAGGAGCCGCGCACCAGCCCAAGTACCGGAGCGCCTCAGTAGCCAGCCGCTGCCTCCGCCGCCCTCCCTGCACGGGCTCAGCCTGCTGCGCCGCCCGGGGCTCCGGCCCCTCTGCACAAAAGCAGGAACTACGGAGTGGGCTGCGGGGACGCTGGTGACGCTCGCTGCGTTCCCCGGGGTGGGGGGCGGGTGTCCCGGGGACGGGGCACCTTGGGCCCCATGGCGAGCTTCCCTGCTCGCGGTGGCGGCCGCGGCGTCCCCCCGCTGCTGCTGCTGCTGCTGCTCCGGCGCGCGCGCGGCTGCTCCTCCCAGTGGGCTCTGGCCGTGGCCCGCTCCCCACTGCCCGGGCGTCCGCGCTGCTGCAGCGGCGGCCCCAGCGCCGCCCCCGGGCCGCCGCCATCCCTGGGGCAGGCAGCGCGGCTCGCGCGGCTCCTGGGGCTCCGCGCCGGGCCCTCCGGCAGCCGCAGGTGCAGGACGACCGGCGCGGGCGATGGGCCGGCTCAGAGAGCCGCTGCTGCCCGGGTCGGGAGTGACGGCTCGGCGACGGTCGCGGCGGGAAGTGGCGGCGGCGTCCGCGACAATTCCCCGCAGCCCCCGCCGGCCGCCGGCGGCTCCGACGCCAAGAAGCTCCTGGGCTTGGCGTATCCCGAGCGCTGGAGGTTAACAGGTAGGGCTTCCCGGCGCCCCCGGTGTCTCCGCCCTTGGCATCGCCTCCATCGCCGGCCTCCCGTGGTCAGGGCACTCTGATCTTCAGCCTGAGACCACCGGGAGGCTGGGCCATGTCGGCCCTGGCCACAGTGACCGCTGCCACGCTCAGAGCCGTCACGATCACCCCCCCCCCCCGCCCAGTCTGAGTTGTGCACAACTTTTTAATTTTTTTTTTTAATTAAGAAAAAGGGTAGGATGAGGCAAGAAGGAGCATGGGATTTGGAGCCTGAGGAATCCCAGCGCTGCTTCTGAGCTTGCCTACACGTCCATGGGCAAGTCACTTTCCGATTCTGAGCCTCGGTTTCTTCATCTGCCAGGGACAGAAACTGTCTCAGTGGCGCAATGGAAAGGATTCGGTGTAGAGGAAGTGGGTTAGAATTCTGACACGGCCATTTAGTACTTTTGTGACTAGGGCAATACCCTAGGGCTTTCACCCTTTATCTTACAGATGAGGGGATGGGTTGAGACGGACCTCTTTCAGGGCTCTCAGTTGTAAATCCATTCTAGCCACCTCTGATTTTGTGTTTTCAAGTGAGGCGGCAGGTTTGTTATCGTTACTTTATATGAAAGTTGGGGCTTCACAAGCTTGTGGGGGTAAGAGAATACTTAACAGATTAGTTTGACTGATTTTTTCCCCCAAAACCATTCTATTCATAATTGAACATATAGTCAGTAGAAATCAAGTAGAGCATCTGCATCTCAGTATGTCTGAATTGCTTAGTTAGAAACTTGGTTGATCCTACTTTTCAAAACGGAATGAATTTTCAGTCAATTAGGAAGCCTTTACTAAGAACTGAGTATGTGTCAGGCATGGTGCTAAACTCTGGGAATACAGAGAAAGGCAAAAATCAGCCCCTGCCCTTAAGAAGCTTATTTAATAATGGGGGAGACTACAAGTAAATAGGGCGATATAGAATGAAGAGAAAGCTTAATTGTGTTGGGAGGGGCGGAGTGGGGCAGAGAAGAACTCCTGAAGAAGTGGTGTTTCATCCACGTCCTGAGGTGGAAGTGAGGAGGAAGACCTTTACAGGCATGGGAAATAGCTGGTGGAGAGGCATGGATATGGGACATCCTCATGTATGAGGAAAGCATGTAGGTCGTAGGTCACGATCTGGAAAGGTAGGAAGGCGCTAGGTTTCAGAGAGCATGAAATGCCAAATAGAAGACTTTATATTTGATTCTGGAAGCAATAGGAATACTAGAGTTAATTGAGCAGAGGAGCAGAGCAACGTGGTCATCGGGCCTGCCATTGAGGAAAATCATTTTAGCAACTTTGTGAAGGATGGATTCCAGTGGAGAGAAATTTGAGGTAGTGAGACTCATTGAACAGTGAAAGTTTGAACTAGGGTGGTGGTTTTGTGAGTGGAGAGAAAGGGATGTATAGAAGAGATGTTATTAAAGTAGAAATATTAAGACTTGCAAACAGATTGGTTATGTGAGGTGAGTAAAAGGGAAGAATCCAGGAGGATGCTGAGGTTGAGAACCTGGGAAAAGGGAGGATGGTGGAGCATTCTCCAGTAATAAGGAAGTTCAGAGGAAGAGAAGATTTGGGAGAAAGGCAATGTTTTGGACTTGTTGCTTTGGATATATCTACAGTTTGAAGTGTAGGCAGTTGGTGATGCAGGAAGGGTGCTTAGAAGAGAGAATAGGGCTGGAGATAACCCTGTTAGAACTAGGAATTATCTACATGGAGATAGCAGTTGAGACAATGGGAACTGTTTTGATCACCAAAGAAGATAAAATGTAGTGAAAGGAGAAAAGGACCCAGCTTTCAGATATTTATTGGTTAGCCTTAGCTGAAGTTATACCCTTATTGTTATATATATTTTATACTATTTTCTCAAGGAAAATGTATGAAACATAATTATTTTTTTTCTCAGAGTGAAAAGAAAAACCTTCCAACTTTCTGATTACTCAATACTATTTCTGCCCACTGACTTCCTATTGCCTCACCTTGGATTAGTTTGAAACTTTTTTTAGGCCAATTAATATGTTTAGAGTTGGCATCTGGAAGTGAAAAGACCTTGAGAAACTGTGCCTATATCTTGGAAGCATTGAAAACAGCCAAAAATGTTTTCCCCCCATCAAACTTATGACTTCAGTTTAGGACCCTCCAGGGATGAAACTCCCCTCACCTATACAGACCATCATTTCATCTGCAATTTATAATCTTACAGAGTTTGGTTTTGGGGGAAAATAAATAATTTCTTAAAAGAAATGAATAACAGAGTATGTGTTTAGTTTCCCCAAAATCATAATTCAAATGGTTAAAAGGCAGTTTCTGTGGCTTACTTTATCACCAGAACTAGCTGAACAAGGCATGGTTTCTTAGAAAGGGTGTTAGCTGTGGAATCAAAGCTCTGCTACTTACTCCCTATGTGATCATGGACATGTTCTTCATCTCTCTGGGGCTCATTTCTCTCATCTGTAAGATGCAGGTTGAAGTGTTGAATTAAATGACCTCTGAGGTCCTCTCTAGCTCTTAATTTAGGATTCTATGAAATTATGTCGAGAGGTATAATGGATAGAGAGCTCCCTTCAAAACCAGGACTGCCTCTCTGACATATTGTTCACATGCACAAGTGGATGATAACTTATCAGTGCTCTAGTCAACTCTTAAGTTTCAGAGAAAGTGCTGACCTGCATTGGTAGAAGACAGTTCCTCTTCCTGGAATTCCCTAAGCCTAATTGCCATCCCTATTCCTAGGAAATAATGCTAATTTTAAGAATGTCAGTTAAAACTTAAAAGGCAAAAAGCAAAAAGAAACAAACAAAAAGACCTTAAAAGGCATCTTTCTTCTCAATTACTTTAAGAGTTTTAGAGACTATCCAAAAGACTGCCGATTTGGTTGAGAATCTTGAAGAGGCAGAAGTGTATGGAAGACTATCTTTTCAAACCTAATGTTTTATTAAATATTTGTTCAGTTGTTTCAGTTGTGCCTGACTTTTCTGTGTCCCCATTAGGGGTTTTCTTGGCAAAGACACTGGAGTAGTTTGCCATTTTCTTCTCCAGCTCATTTTACAGATGAGGAAACTCAGGCCAACAGGGTTCAGTGACTTGCCCAGGGTCACATAGCTAGTATCTGAGGCCAAATTTGAACTCAGGGAAATGAATCTTCCTGACTCCAGGCCCAGCACTCTATCCATTGTGCCACCTATGCCAACACATTTATGTAGCATTTAAAAGTGTATCTAGCTTGTTCCTCAAAACCATCCTGGGACATAGGGAGCGTGAATATTATTACCCATTTTTCAGATGAGAGAACAAGTTCAGATAGGTTAATAGGATTATAGAATGTTGTTCTGAAAGGTACCCCAGAGATCATCTGATTCCCTCATTCTATAGATGAGGGAAATGAGACAATTATATGAAGTGATTCAAACTTAGGTCCTCAGACTTAAAATCCATCGTTTTCACTACACTTATTATTGGCCTTTGTTTATATAACCAGTAAGTGTTTGGATGGTAAATGCCCAGAAGGCAGGCACCTTGTCATTTTAAGTTGATTTGTTAGGCTGCATCAGTCAATCAATAAACATTTATTAAGAGGCCTCTATGTGCCAGGCACTCTGCTAAGCACTAGGGATACAAAAAGAGGCAGACAGTTCCTGCTCTCAAGGAGCTCACAGTCTAATGGTATACTGGATAGAGTTTCTTGCCTTGAAGCTTCCCTTGGACACCTGTTAGCTGTGTGGTCATGGACAAGTTATTTAGCATCTCTGGGCTTCAGTTATCTCTCTCTCTCTCTCTCTCTCTCTCTCTCTCTCTCTCTCTCTCTCT